GAGAGAGAGAGAGAGAGAAGGATGAGAGGAGAGAGAAGAGGGAGAGGGAGAGAGAGAGAGAGAGACGAGAGGAGAGAGGGAGAGAAGAGAGAGAGAGAGACGACCGAGAGGAGGAGAGCGGAGGAGATGAGAGAGAGAGAGAGTCATGGGCAGGGCGGAGGGGAAGAGAGGGGGATGATCGAGATTGAGAGGAAGAGAGAGAGAGAGGGAGACAGAGAGCATAGAACTAGAATAATAAAATAAATAGAAGTCGTAACGGCTCCGCGTGAGTCGAGCGGCCAAGGCAGGCACGGGGCAGGGCGGGACGGATAGCGACGACCCGTCAGAGCTGTCTTCTGGTTATTTGTTTATGAAGGTTAATAGATTTGTTGTTTATTATCGTGGAGAAAAATTAAGGCAAATTGTATCCAAACCAGCTATTTTCAGTTTGGGTTACTTGGTGACTACTTTTCATCTTAATATTTCCTCATAAAGCATTATGTTCCCAAAAGTATGTATATGTTTCTGTCTCAAACTATAAATGGTTTACATTTATTTAAAAAAAAAAAATACGGTCCTATTTATGTCTACAAAATGAATCTGCTTATTTGAACATGACTGTTTTCATCAATTTATCTTTCTCAATAACAAGTTACTTGAATATCAAGTCTCATCTTTCAACACTGTCTATTTCGAATATTTATTATTGTTTCCATAATATTAACTTAATGTTCCTAATTGGAAATAACAGTGATTTGATCCTGGGTATTTTCTTCCCTTATATTTAAAACAAAATTCCAAATTCTGAAGTCTTTTTTTTTTAAGAGTAAGAACAGCTTGTTTGCCTTTTACCACATGTGCAGGATCATTGATTTCAGAATATTGTGATATGTTCAGAATATCTGTGTCTGGAATATTTTTGCATAGGTGGTACTGCTCACTGTACTCATCTCTCCTGGCCTTGCTACTGTATTCTTTCCTGATCTGTCTCCAAGGTGTCGTTTTTAATTTATGGGTCTACTGTTTGAAGCTTAATGAGATACTAGGCCAGACAAATCATCAATGGTTATTTCTTTGAGGACATCTGGTTACCTTTATGCCTTTAACGAATATACTTGTAAAACACTGTCTTCATGTAACACCACAAACATTAATTAAACTGTACAATAATAAAGCTGCTATTATTAAACAAACTGATTTAATTACATAAATTGTCATCTACAACTAGAGCAATGACAATATTCACCAAAACGAGCTTCTTTCAAGACTAACCACTACTCACAGAACACAAAGTTTATCAATTTCATGAATCCTTAAAATAGATGTTAGGTGAAAATGGTGAAAAAAAAAGACTGGATATTTATGAGAGATTTGAGCACCGCGATGAATACATTGAAGCTTCTGGTCGTTGGACTTAGAATGACCTCTTTATTCCATTTGCACCATCTTTTATTTGAACATTTACAGTGGCTATTGTGACATCTAAAATAAGAGATTGAGTACATCCTTAGTCACCCCCTCAGTCACTGGAACACATTTTACAGTACACTTGATATTGAAAAGGAATATCTTCATTGCGTTTGCTAGCATTATTTGTGTTTTTAATGAAATAACTCCAGATCTTGAATTGAGTTTTCAATTGTTTCTGTGTTCAATATTCATCATTTACATTTATTTTATTTCTGTATTACTGATTGTACTGTTGCCATACAAACTTGTTAATATTCGGAAACACTGTCAAGCAGAAAGCAAACTTATAATTTTTGAAAACAGTTTAAATTCTGACTGTACTTTCTTAAATATTCATTGGTATAACTAGTGTTTTTTATTACAGCACATGCTATGAATGCAGGTTCTGATGAATATTTTATGAACTATAAACCTCATCACATTATGGGGCTCTGTAATAATATTTTTTATTTAGTAGATCACTTATTACAAAGATAAATCAGTTTACAAGGCAATCTGTTGCTAGGTATAAGGTTCTTCCAATAATATTCAAATACGTTGCTCATGAAATGCAATACCGTCAATAATCATTATGTTATGCTATCAGTTGTGCATATTTGTGCCAGTCAATGAAGCAGTTTGTAATTTGAACTTCATGAGAGTCAAATCTGAGGATATAGCATGGATATATGTTAATATGATAATTTGAAACTGTTTCCTACACACGCGTGTGCCCACACACGTGTGTGCCCACACACACGCACGCACACACACACACACATTACAGTGAATCCCATATAATGGAATTCTTTACATATATAATTCTACCCCAATGTATTAGAAAGTCCCAATCATTCCATATGTTTTGTGCAGCCCCAACTTTTTTCTTCTATTACTTTTCTAGTCATGTGGTTGATGCCTTCCTCATCGTTGGCTATGATCACTTTGATTGTCAGCATACATTAAGGTATGTAAGAAATCTGTTCCAATTGGTATTCTCATACCCTTGCACTTTTTCCAGAAGTGAAGAACACATCTTATATTTATTCTTAATAGTGAAGGGGATGAACAACAATATTGACTAAATTCTGAAGATCTACTAGAGCTTACATTAACATCGCTCTTGCAATCTGCATATAGACCTTTTATAGCATTGAACCTCATTGTATTCTTATTTTTTTCCATTTCATTTTATCCTACAGTTAAATTAGGGATTCTGAGACAAATGCCTTTCTCAGATCTATAAATACTATTTGTATCTCCCTGACCATACTGATTCATTTTTTTTTTTTTATCATATGTACACATGGAGGAACATGCATGTTATGGAAAAAGTTATGTAATGCTGTGGAAAATCGATGTTCAGATTTTATAGGAAATATATATTTTTGGGTTCCTGGTGTAGTATTTTTGTTTTTAAAATGTCCATTTGTCTGTTCATTTGTCTGTCCAGCTGTTAACAACACTATCCCCTAAACCACTCTGAGAATTTTTCAAAAAAGATTATATCCTGATCAACAGACCTAACTCAATGCATTTCAAATTCTTTGAGTGTTTGAGGTACTTCATACAAATCTGGGATATTTTGAAAATTTTCTCAAAAAAATTTTTTTTTTTCCTACTACAATTGTAGGAAATACACTTGTAATGAATAAATCTGACTTTAATTGTAAACTTCAAATTTTTGAAAATTTCAAAAGTTTACAATGTTTGAAAATCCAGTCAACTAAAACCAACATTTCATCTGTCATGCTGCAACCTTGTTCACGCCAAAATGCACAAAACAGGGCATTTTGCCCTAAGAAAGGTCACAGCCTGAGAGCTGAAATATTGGCATCTGTGCCTAGGATGTGGAATCTCCCAGAGATCCAATTAGATACTGTCTCTGGCTATGGAAGCCTATGCTTTTACTTTTGCTGTTGGTTTAAAACACACATAAGGCATGAATGTTGTAAGTTGTGTTTGGGGCCGCGGGGATATTCTGAGTCCCTCTTGTATATCATTACCCTAATCCTCCAATAATATCTAGCCCTGATGAGCAAGGTGAGATATGTGTGTAATTGAGGAACTGGATCCCTACAAGCACAAAGATGGGGCCAAGGGACACCACAGGCAAGTTTGTAAAGGTAAAGGACCAAGAAACACCAATGTGATGTTCGAATGTTTGGGAAGCACGAAGGTATTCTCTACATGGAATGTCCCCAGAGAAGCATTAGGTACTGCAAGAGGCCCTGACAGATTTTTAGGTGCCAATTGATAGCAACTGGTAAGAAGTTGGGAAAAAACAAAAAGCTAACATAATCTCAAGAGAAGAGGAAACTAACTAGTTTGAGAGTCTGTCCCATTCTGTTGCACCATTAGTTTTTCAATAATTTCATCCAATTTAGGAATAATATTTAGTTTTTTTTAAAAGGTCTGACTCCATTTCATTCCCTCTGAATACTTTTATGTATTTCCCTAAGCTTCTTAATTTTCCATTTACAAAAATATAATCTATTATTAATTGAGAACCATGTCCTTTCTATGTGTATTTGTGTTTCTAGAAATACAACTCCCTTATTTCCAAATGTAAATGATATTACACATAATTCTTATTAAATACTGTATAAGTTTTCACATAAATCTTCACATTATATACTGTATAAGTTTAATGTTGTTTTCATAACATAACTAATTTTTATTCTGGCCTTTCATCGGACATCTTTCTTTATTTGTAGAAAGTATTTGTTACTTGTGAAATGCAGTCAAAGATACTAAGCTCACTTGTAATTGATAATCTCTCATAATATTACTCATAATTAATGTGAATATATTTAATTTATTGGACAGAAATATGACTTGGTTTACAGGACCTGCAGGACAAGTTTGTGCAGAGACATTAAGAGAAGGTGGTTTTCGAGGAAAACTTATAATGTTGGCAGCAGAACGATATTTACCCTATGAACGAGTATTGTTGAGTAAGGCAATGCTGACAGACATAGAGGGAATCAATCTTCGCCCAAAACATTTTTATAAAGTATTTAACATATTCACAGAACTGTTTTGAACATTTCAAAAGCTGGCATTAAAGTTTAATCTTGTTATTATTATCATTATTTCAGAAGTACGATATAGAATTGAAAATTGGGGTAGCATTAGTATCATTAAATACAAAAGAAAAAGTTATTGAAATTAGTACTGGAGAGAAAATGAGTTATGATTCCATATTCTTAGCTACTGGTGCAGGGTAAGTTTTAATAATAATTCACATGAGTTGAATTTTTACATGCTTTTCCAATTAATATTTTGATGTTCTTGTCTTTTTTGTAAGGGCTCGCAGATTATCTTGTCCTGGAAGTGATTTAAAGAAAATTTTTGTCTTGAGAAATCTTGATGATACAAAACAAATTGACCGAGAAATCAAAGCTAATGTAAAGTTAGTGATAATTGGAGCTTCTTTCATTGGTAGGTTAATGTTTTCATATTTAAATATGCATACACAGCATCATTCATGGCATGGAAATCATTCAATTATACCATTATGATATGGCCCACAAGTGTACTAATTTCAAATACATATTTATTTTCTATTCCTTCTGCTTGTGATTTCACTTCTTCATAACAGGAATGGAATGTGCAGCACATTGTATTGGTCAAAATGCAGATGTGACAGTAGTCGGCATTGAAGCAGTACCATTTGAATTACAACTAGGCCGACAAATTGGGGCACAAGTACAAAAATGGTTTGAAGAAAAAGGTGTGAAATTTGCAATGAGTGCCTCTGTTGCAGAAATATTACCAAGTGAAAATGATCCTTCATGTGTTGGGCAAGTCAAACTTGAAGATGGCAGATTACTGGCAGCAGATGTTATTGTGTTAGGCATAGGAGTTATATTTGACACAGGATATCTTCAGAACAGTGGTGTCACAACTCAGAAAAATGGTACTGTTCCAGTTGATGATGTAAGTGCTAAAAAACAAATCAAAATTACAGCAAAATTACATTCTTATTATGTTTTATTTCTAATTATTCTATAGTTTTATTCTTTCTTATTATTCTATAGTTAGTTAAAATATTAAAAGTGTGACAAGTACTTGATTTTGTTTATGTATTATTAAATGATATAGGATGATAATTTGGAGCAATATTTTCAGTTCCTGGAAACCAACGTGCCTGGTGTATTTGCTGGAGGAGATATTGCTTTTGCTCCAGTACTGGGTACAGTTGCAGCCATTGGTCATTGGCAATTGGCCCATTACCATGGTCGTATTGCCGGGCGCAACATGTTGGGTAAAAAGGAACCTTTAAGAACGGTGCCATATTTCTGGACTGCTCTTTTTGACAAGGGATTTAAATATGCAGGTCTTTTTTTAAATTTTTGTTGTTTGTACTTTTTATCAAAATCTACCATCCCAATATATTGCTTTTACATTGATATTAGGGTGTAATACCGGAAAAATATTTCAGGTTTTGTGATTGGCTTCGATGATATTGTTTTACATGGAAATTTGGATGATATGGACTTTATTGCATATTTCTGCCAAGGGGATTCAGTTTTATCTATTGCTGCTAGTGGTAATGATCCAATTGTATCTCAGTTTGCAGAATTACTTCATTCTGGCAAGAAAATCACAAAAGCTGAGGTGCAAGAAAGTCCCACAGCTTGGACAGGTAAACTTCTTGAATGATCATGTATTAATTGTTCAGTGATGAATATATATTAATATTAATCTATTTCTTAGTCATTGAATATGAATATATATTTATCTAATATTGATAATTTCTTTTTCCTTAAGATTGATACTTTGTATACAAAAAGAATGGATCAGGTTAGTTGTAATAATGCAATAATTTGATGCACATCCCGATTTTGTTGGTAATGCTTAGTACAAACAGGGTCGTTTTAACAGCATTGGGGGCTCATGGGTCTAGATTAATTTAGGGATCCCTATTCTTACTTTTACTGATCTATGCCCCCTCCCTCCCAATTTTGGTGCTGAAATATAAAGAAACTCCTATCAATTTTCATTGTATTTTGTATTTTTATAAAATTATTTTGAAAGTATTTCTTAATGTTTCAATTTAACATTTTCAAATCAAAAAATTGAAGCATATGCATATAAGTAAGTAAATAAGAATAATCAATTTAAAATTACATTGAAAAAGACTAAATATTTTTAATTTCTTATTCATTGTTCAATATAAAATCGGAACACATCAACTAGCAACATTCCATATTATAAATATTATCCAATAATGCGTGTCACATCACTCTGTTATGCCAATTTTTTGCATGTAGTTTAATCATAGATGTTTATAATTTTTTTTATTTTATTTTTTGAAAAATTTAGTATTAAAGATTTTTTAAGTACTATCGAGGACCACTAAATACGGGGTCTCTGGGCATGTGCATTAACACAGCACTGAGTTAAATGTTTCTTCCCTCCCCTCTGCTATTTCTTTTGAACATGTGTTACATAATGATGCAGATATTAAATGTATACTGCATAGGCCTACGTATTAATTTATTTATAACTAGATTAGCAAGCATTACAAACTAAATTTGTGTCACCTTCTCATAACTACACTTCCCCATTCACTATTACATTCTACTAATTTTGGTGATTAAAAATATATATGATTTTATACACTTAATTGTAATGAAAGCATCATTGCATTATTGCAAGTGCAGTTACTCAATTTCTGGCTGTGAGGAGGTGTTAGAAATGAAAAATATGCTTATGCATTTATTCCTTTTTTATTTTTAAATTTTTAATGAATCAAAATATAAATAGGGTTATAATTATAATGTAATATAATTAATTGATTCTAAATTAACACAAGATTTAACATGACATGAGATTTTACATCAGCAATAAAGCATAAATATATTATAAGGGGAAGGAACAAACAAGAAAAACAATAATGATGGCATTTAACAGCAGGCTACGTAAGGACCCATAATTGTATGAAATTAATTTAGGACCTAAAATTCGAGCTATTTTTTACTTGGTTCCATTATGTTTTGAGAAATCAAAACTTATCTCATAATCATTTATTAAACATTCCTGATAATGTGCAATATTCCGAGACCTACTCCAGTCTCATCAGGTACTAAAAAAACACAATAAACAATAAATTGTATCTCATATTTTACTCTGGGATAACTTAGTTCATGTTCACTTAACGAATTCGTTTCTTGGTGAGTTTTACATGAGTATAACGTATATTTTTTTACATCATTTTTATCCCTTTTTTTCGTAATTTTATTTCATTTTTACTTTTCCATATACCTACATATATACAGAGTAATATACGTAGTTTAGGGAAAGTTATGTAATGCTGCGGAAAATCGATTTCGAGATTTCAACGGAAATACACGTTTTGGGGTCCCTTGCTACCAAAAATGTGTTGTTTTTTCTTTCAAAACGTCCGTCCATCCGTTCTTCCGTCAATCCGTCTGGTGTATGTGAACAACGCTAGCACCTAAACCATGCAAAGGTTTTTTTTTCAAATTGAGGAAACCCCTGTGAATATGGGCTTAGTCAAACCTCTGTAATTTTGAAAATCATTCATTCGGTTTTGGGGGTATTTTACATGAAGGACAGTTTCACGGTAAACCCCGAATTTTCGAAAATTTAGATTAAAGTTTTTTTCGGGATCTTCATTCAAATACAGAATTAAAGATAAAGATTTTTCTTCAGATACAATATGTTGTCCATAATTTGTTTTTTCATTAGTCATACACATTTTTTCGAAAATTTTAGTAGTTTTCGCGCAATATTGCGTGGAATTTGTGCAATTTAAAAAAAATTAAATTAATAAAATTCTCAAAAACGGCTCCAATTTTTTTATTTAACTTCTTTTAGGAATTGTGCTAAATGCATTCTGACTTATTGTTCTATTCTTTTGTTTTTTCAAAAATTACAAAAATGTAATTTTTTGTCTTGTCTCTCGCATCGTTAATATTGACATTAGCCGTAATTTGTTCACATTATTATATTTATGAGTATATGTGCTTTGAATAATGTCAGATAAAGTTTCTCGAAAACTCTACCGTTTTCTGCGAAAACTAGCTCAAAATTCGGCATTTTCAAAAACGCTTTAACGCCATTTTCCCAAAAACGGCTTCAATTTTTTTCTTCTAACATTACGAACGGATAGTGCTAATTGCACTCTTTAATACGACGTATAATTCTTTTTGATGTTTTTTTTATTTTTTTCAAAAATTACACAAATTTAATTGTTTTAATATCTATCACGCCGATAGTATGCACATTGCATACACAGCGATTTGTAAACACTATTGTATTTGTGAGTTAAAGTGCTTCAAATCACTTCAATTGAAGTTTTTCTAAAACTGAAAACTTTTCCGTGAAAAAGTGATTCAAATTTCGAATTTACTGTAGCGCTTCGGCGCGCTTTTTTTAAAAAAAAAATGCTCCAAATTTTTTAAAGGAATTGTCATTTAGGATGTGGTTTACTGTTATTTAATATTCTTAAAATAATATTTCGGTTCTGTTGTTAGAAAACCGAAAAATTGAAGAAAAGTTCAAAATTTATTTTGGCCAGCGATAGATTGCAATTGGCAAGATGTGGCAAGTTCGTGTAGCTAACCGAGACTAAAGGAAATTCGTAGGAAACGAATACGGGAAAGTCTGTGACATTCTGTGTCATCACTAGTTATACTTTTAATTAGGTTTTTAGAATCTGATCATGGAACTAAATGTAAAATAAGTCTGATTATTGTGATAACATATAAGAAGTAATATAAATTTGAATTAGTCCAGATTGTCAAGACTGACAGAGTATATACCAGATCAGTTCGTTAGTCAGAAAACACAGGTTCCAATTTTGCCATATCTATAGATCAAAATGTTCCCTTGCCTTTCAGGTACATTACCTCTATGGGCTATGCCTTTACCTCCCCCCAAATGTTTATTTACAATTATTCAGTATAATTTACAATGATCTAGCTGAAAACGGTCTCAATTATTCTTGTGGAGAGCAATCAATTGAGCTTGAGAGATCGTTAACACTTCTTGCATCAAGTATGCCCTAAAACTCCCCCAAAACACATTTTAGGTACTTAACTCTTCCCTCCTCCAAAACGTTTTTTGAAGATGTTTTAGAAGACTGAAAAAGAAACAAACAAAAAATCTAGCAATATCCCATTGTTCTACAGTACGACCGAGTCACATCGTTTGACACATCATTTGCCCCGAATGATGGTCAGGAACTGTGAGAGAT